ACGCCTCGTTCAAATTCGCCACTTTTCGTTATCGCGCTTGACCTGACGATAGCCGAAAGCAGCGCGTCGCTCTTGATTAACTTTTCCAAAATAATTCCAAAACATTCGATTAGCCTTGCGTCGTCCGCCTTCTTCAGAGCTTGAGTGAGAATTAAAAGCGATTCGTTAAGCAATTGACAGCTGGCGCCGTCCAATATAAACAAATTACAAACTGTCGCGTCAACCGCTTCGTTCGACAAGGGAAAATGGCAATCGAAGATCTCCACAAGACTTTCCAAAACTCTACTATACGCTAGAACATCCAATTCGTAATCGGAATCCTGACCAGTGCACTTTTGCGGCGTTAGAGGGCCCGGTAAGAACTCGAGGTATTCCAGGATTGTGCCTCGTAATCTTTTCAGACTGCTTTGACTCTTATGTGTCGACAGGTCTCGCAAAACCTCCAACAGTTGATGGCTTGCGTGTCTTTCACGAGTCTCTTCGAATCCCGATGAAGCTGCAAGGAAAGGCTAACTTGGCGGCATTATACGAAGAAGACGCGGATTTAATATATTTCTAATAAATTCGAAGACATGCTACGAGAGGTTTGGAGTTTGCGTGTAGGATTGAGAACGTAAGCAGCACTGATACTAGAATTTTAATTAACAGGCAATTGAATTTTTCAAGCAGCTAATGGCAATTATTTGCTTTCTATAGCAGCGCACTTGAATTCTATACTTCACTCTATTTCTTATGTGATTTTTTTTTTCTCTTTTCTGTCCCACGATTTAGCAAACGCTCATTTAACGCTCATCCATACGCACATCAAACAATGCCGTAATTCGAATAGCATTATAACATTATTGATTGCGATCGGTCGATCATCGTAATTATCAAAAGTCACACAACATGCAATGTACAAATAAAAGTAAAATTCAATTCGTTCGGTTGGCTTTGGTGAAATTCTAGTATCGGTACGTTTAACGGATAATTTTCCTTTCTCGACTGCACTCGCTTACCTGAATTATTAAGTGGCCCAATAGGATCAGAATTGAAGAGATTTGCATTATTCAAATTATTCGTCTGAGTGATGGATGATCCTAGGGAAGCATTGAAATCAGTTAGGTCCGACAGCAAGTCGGTATTTGACATTGCTGTAAGAATAATTTGCACTTAGTAAATCGGCCAAAGCCAATCGGATAAGTTTGCTAAAAGCGTTAACGAGTCGAATGAATGTCGAATTGAAAAATGATTTTTATTCATGTTCAGCTGACTATTGGTACTCACTTGCATTATTATTGCTATTGTTAATTATTTGGGGCTGATTGGTGAGTGGCTGCTGTGGTTGGGTCGCGTTAAAAAGATCGTTGCCGCTGGTGAAGCTGGTGTTGATCCTCGCGTTCATCGGCATTATCAGATTATCGGAGACGGGGCTGCCGACACTGGGTATCATCGGATTGATTAGAGACATTTGCGGTTGTTGCGTTATCGACATGCTCGAGTTGAAAGCCGAGGTGAAGTCGGCGAACTCGTCGCTCCCTCTGTTCTCTTTAGTTTTGGTGGATGGCGAGCTGAAGGCCGAGGTGAAGTCCCCGAAATCCGAGACGTTCTGGCCACTGGGTAGAGGCGCATAATTTTCCGCCCGGGGATTGAAGTCATCGTCCTCGTTGTTATCCGCGGGCCATTTGCTCGAGACTTTTAGAGATAATAAGCAAGGCTTCGTTAGCATCGGATGAAAACCACGTCAACCAATAACAACCATAATAATATTAAAAAAAAAAAAAAAAAAA